ACTACGATCGGTGCGATCGTGCTGATGATCACCACGATCGCGCTAATCGCAGAGGTGTGTATACACAGATATACAGATCGGAGTGGCGATCATGGACGTCTAGTCCAGATAGAGAGCAGCGCCATACCAACCTAAAAGCATTGCTTCCAGCAATACCTCCACATAATCTGACTGCTACGACACGGCGAACGAGTTCCTGAAAGCCGACACGCGCAACCGCATCCTCCTACGGTGGACACCGGGACATCGGGCCATCAAGAACAACGATACAGAGGACAGGAACGACTCAAACACGCCATCAGACAGACCAGCAGCAAAATTGATTTCAAGCCTACTCAGCGTGCCGACTGTGACTAGGGCGCTCTCCCGCTACATCCTCGAAACCGGGAAGTTCACCGCGATATGGCGGCTTACAGACATGCACAGTGATTTGGGAACAACGATAGGGTCTCAGTAGGATGAAGAACCATTTTCTATGTCTACATAGGGTGCTCCCCTCAGCGAAACTAAATAGAAGCAACAATATCCAAAGCATTGCTGTATGAAACTGGCCCGAAATCAAGCAATGAACCGTGTGTATTTGCGACGTGAATAATACAGCATATCAGACTACCCTAAGCATTCCACCTGTTGATGACCGCGTCGAGCACAGTATCTATGAACACAACAGCGTTCTGAGGATCAACAGATGCATACAGGTCCATTCCACAGCCCCAGGTCATGCCGGTGATAATCCACTTGTGGCTCCCAAGCAACGGAAGCACACCAAAGTCGAGTCGGCAGCACTGTGCTAAGCAGAACCCCCCATGCATTGATTTTTCTTCAAGGTGAGTGGTCATGTTGCTTATGATGTGATTGCACATCTCGCGGATTTCCTCCATGGCCTTTGTACGCGCTTCCATCGTCCCGCCCTCCCGTTCGAAGATTCCGACGAATGCACCGGTGCTAAGGTTTGCGTTGGGCATTCTGCATGAGAGGGCGATTTAATATCACAGGGAAATGTTTCAATCAGGTGGCAAAACATACTGGATCTCCTCCGGCCTGAGCACACATCGCACGGGGCTGCCTTCCAGCTGATTTCCAACTCGGGTGGTGTGTACAACGTGCGTGAGGCGCCCCTGAGACATATAAACACGGATCTGACCAGCGTTGCTAAGTGATGGGTGGCGGGGCATTTCGAACCACACCCATCGGCCGCGATTCTGTTTTCGGTCTTGGTCTATGAGACCCCTGGGGTATATGCGGCCATCATGGACATGGATTCCGTGTGTGGTAGCCTCGCGCTTGTACATCCGCCATTTGTCCACCCTCACGGTCACCTGCTCGCGCGGAATGAACGTCTGTAACCCTGGTACCCGGTAGGGCGGACTCCGCAGCGCCTGGATGATGGAGAATGTTTTCGCACTGTAGCGCACTGCTTGTAGGGGTGGCCACACTGGGAATATAGGGGTCAAGGACCGCAGACGACGGTAATACTCGTCCTTCTGTAGAGGATCGTCGCCCCAAAGCACAGCATCACTACAGATGTGTCAAATACGGGTTATACTCACATAAATGATAGGCTTACTTGCAGTCGTGCATGAGCTGGGACGCATTGTGAACAAGGATGTCGAATCCCTGATGGACTAGGACTTTCTTCAACGTCTGGGGCTTGGTCCCATACGTCGCCATGATGAAATCTCGGAATGGGTCCCAGAGTAGGATTGTCAGCTTGACATTGGAATGCATCTCGAGCCGATAGGCCCAAAGAACCTAACCATTATCTGTAAACCCAAATCATCGCAGTAAATGCACGAATGACTGGACGCACGTCTTCGGCAATGATCACTTCAGTATACTTCTGGCCAGGATGAACCCGGCTCTTGTTCTTGGTGGCCGCCAGATAGTCATAAATGTAGCCGTGTAGCTTCGGCTCTGCAAGAAATCTCTCCGCAATCTCCGACTGCATTGCATATATTAGCCACCCGGAGCCACAGGTGGTATCGACATCAGCGATGTTTGTTCGCTTCTGAGCACCATCAAGAACGAAGGCAACATGCTTCGGAGGATTGGTGGACATCTTTGGAGCTTAATAAAAACAGATCAGCCTTGGCTCCATACATTAGAAACAGAAAATATCAACCTTGATTCGATCTGATAAGGAATTGGCCAAAGAATACTCTGTAGGCTCTGCTTACACAGTCTGACCGGTTTGGAAACATTTTAGTGCGCGGTTTAGCATCTGGATGGCCCTATACTGAGTTCAGATACACACCTGTGTTGTACTAGAATAGCAGGGATGTGTACAAGGTAGAGGAATGCTCACAGAAATCGAACAAGTGGCCTTTGTTGCCCGATTTAGAAGCGTGAGAACATATCACGTGACTTTCCCATTCAGGTAGCTGGGGCGCCAGCTGGCACCTCTCTCTTCTCTACCACCACCACGACGTCGAAAGATGTCGCAGAACGTGCAACCGTCGCTTGGGGCGACCTTCGGGTTGCTCTGTGGACGTGTTGGTGCGTTTTGACGCGTTTTGGCGTGTGAAAACGCGCCAAAAATGCGTTGTTGGTGTGCTCTGGCCCACCAGGCATTCAAACACGCTTTTGAAGCGTGCTTGAATGTCCAGGACATGACTGGGGATGTCCAGGCATGTCTGTGATGTGACTGGACGCATTTCGGCGCGTCCAGACACATTATGGAGGTATCCAAGGCAATGGGTGATGTTCAGCGTGTATCCACGCTGTTCACCGTCCATTTACAGCGCAGGACACGTCGTTTTCGACGTGTCCTAGCCTGCATAACCTCTCCTGCGCACCGATCGAGGACCGAGAGGTGCAAGGGAGTTGGGGGACGCTTTCCGGCTGGATTACCGGCCAGGAAGCATCCAGATCACGGCTCTGGGGGCTTTGATGGTGAGGCTAGCATCTAGCCTTCACCAGAGCGCACACAGCTGGTTAGCCGGCTTGTTGTGTGCTCCATGACAGTCTGCCTAGCAGGCTGTCAAACCTCGTGCGAAGTACACACAGATGTGTGCATGGAGCACCATACCAGACGCTCTCAGAGCGTCTGGTATCGCATGACATGTCTCTTGTGTGCATTTGCACAAGAGACAGTCATGTACAGCGCAGGACACGTCGTTTTCGACGTGTCCTAGCCTGCATAACCTCTCCTGCGCACCGATCGAGGACCGAGAGGTGCAACGGAGTTAGGGGATGCTTTCCGGCTGGATTACCGGCCAGGAAGCATCCAGATCACGGCTCTGGGGGATTTGATGGTGGGGCTAGCATCTAGCCTTCACCAGAGCGCACACAGCTGGTTAGCCGGCTTGTTGTGTGCTCCATGACAGTCTGCATAGCGGGCTGTCGAA